ATGTATATATGTATGGATTATGATAAGAGTTGTATGAGCCCCCAATATTTTTTTTTTTTAAGCTATTTTCTTAGTGCCTGACCACTATGTTCCAGCAGAGAGGAAAAAAAAAAAAGACTGCTATTTATTCCATGGATCTGATCATTTGGTTGTTAAACTCACCAAAAAGCTGTTCCCCTTTGCCGTTCTTACCATGGGTCACTTCATCCATGTCTGGACTAGTGACAGAATCTTTACCCCCAAAATCAGAGCTGCACTCAGACCTCAAGTCTTCAATTTTATTGGGAATATCCTCAGAGGTTGCACTTATGCCTTAAAAAAAAAAGAAAAATAAATAAACATCAAGAACAATGTAAACATACATACAAAATGTATATACTTACACAAATATATGCATTTTGAATAAATTTAAACCATGTCAAATTTTGGGTGTCACAATTCTATACTGGTGACTTGTATAGTACTATATCCTTTATCTAACTACTGCTTAATATATTTGGTTTGGACAACATAACCAAAATTACTAAACAGAGTAACAGAGGCTACCAAGAATAGAGAAAGAATTAGAGGGAACATACAACAAACTGATTGCCAATTACTTCAAAGGCTCAATAAAGTCACACATTAAGTTCTCATAGATTTACAGTTCCATAAAAATAATTTTGTCTCCTGAAAATTACTCAACTCTTAAATAAAACATGTATCTTCTATATAAACTCTATAAATGGAGGCAAGGGAAACTGCACACATCAAATCATTCCTTAAAACAAGACAGACATACCCGACACAACACTGAGGCCTGGTGTGCTGGGGCGGGAACTGACCTCCCTGACATCGGTATCATCAGATGTGCTACCCAGTCCTGAACAGCTCTCCAATTCTTGTAGACGTTCCTCCTGCTTTAGGTCTGGGGCCTCTAGAAGGCATACAAGAAATGAGGTATCATGTTAATGATTTTATTGGCATGCCACAGTTTTTGCTTTTGTGACCTGGAAGACAAAAGCTACCAGGGCACCAATAGAATCAGTGTAAATAGATTCCTAAATTTCAGCCAGTTGCGAAGTTGGTGAGATCAAGTGGGACTAAATTCAATGTTGTGATTTCTATTCTAATATAGGCCATTTTATTATGAGTAGATGAATATTCTATTTTCAGATCACTAATTTCATGAAGAATGCTGTTGGTTAAAGTGTAAACTGGACACTGGGCAAGAAAGTATAGAATAACTTGGCATTAGATCAACCAGTCTCTAAAAAGTAACTCCTATAAATGCAGCATAGATGGTGAGCTAATCCCATTGTCCCTTTATGAAAGCTTATTAACATTTGAAGGAATGCTTTAACATGTTAAGTTCATACAAGGATCGCTTGGTTGTTCTTGAACCAAGTAAACCAACTACAACATAAAACAGATATATAGCTATTTGTATTTGAATTCTAGCAGCTGACATTTAGATGAAGACTAGTTATCCTTAAAAATCAGGGGGAAAAGTATAAATGAAATACATAAAAACACAAAACAATTCAGACACATTTGTAATATTCTGAACAAAAAAATTCTCAAGACTCCAAAATCTCAATTTCAATGTATTACAAAAACATTAATTAACTTTTAATGTCACGTTCTCCCCTGAAATAAATCTAAAAATGCTTACCAGGCATCCAACCACTTACAGTTTGAACTCTGTTGCTATTTCTATCCTCTGATGAGATAGTGGGAGACACTGAACTTAATATCCCATATAGAACCCTGATGAGTTACTAATAATTACTTCCAAAATTACAGAACAGAATCAGAATGTACGTCTTAGCCTATGCCATCCAAGGCTGCATATTTGTTTTCTTGATGGGTAAAAAGTCCCTAGACTAATGTTCCATTTGAAATTCTCAGTAAGCAATTGGCTCGCATTCAACAAATGCATACTTGACAAAAGGGACATAAAATAGAAATTAGTAGACCTTACATTTAAAACTTCAGTGCAAATAAAAAAAGCATACTAACCTGAGTCACTTGGCAATACCTCTACACTCCAAGCTTCGCTGGTTGTTTCTGATATGGTAGAACCAGTGCAGGGGTCAAGAAGCACTGACCCTGAACCTGGTAGACACAGCAAACTGCCTAGCATGTTCTCTGCTGCTGCACCTGTATAATTGGTGGGGAGCAAAGGGTTAACAAAAGATCCTGATGGAAAAAGCAGTGACAAAGGGGAGAAGCCAAACACTAAGCTAAGAAAATCTTCTCTGCCCACAAGAAAGAAGTCAAGGTTAAGAATAGGGTCAATCAAAGCCACTAAAAACACAAATTTCCCACTTCTCACACAATGGTTCAACCTTGGACTTTCTATAGAGAAACCACACATTATTTAGTCATTTCAACTGTCACCTTGGTTTTAAATCAAGATTTTCATGTGTTCCCTAATATCCTTTAGACTTTATAATCCTACAAGGATTAAGTGGAGCCCAACAGAATAGTAATGGAAAGCATTTGGCTGCTATACACAAGTTTGGTTGTTCAAACCCTCCAGCCACTCTGTGAGAGAAAGACATGGCAGTCTGCTTCCATAAAGAGGATTTCCTTGAAAATTCTCTGAGGCAGAGTTTTACTCTATCCTACAGGGTCACTACAAGTTTAATCAACTCAAGGGCAATGGGATTTTTTTTAAATAATTTTATTGGAGGCTCATACAACTCCTATCACAATCCATACATACATCAAGTGTGTAAAGCACATTTGTACATTCGTTGCCCTCAAAACATTTGCTCTCTACTTAAGCCCCTGGCATCAGCTCATTTTATCCCTTCCCTCCCCGCTCCCCACTCCCTTCACACACTTTCCTGTTGTCCGTCCCCCATGGAGGAGGCCATATGTAGATCTTTCTACCCCACCCCCCTTCCATTCTCACCACTGGTCCTGAAGGGATCATCTGTCCTGGATTTCCTGTGTTTCCAGTTCCTATCTGTACCAGTGTACATCCTCTGGTCTAGCCGATTTGTAAGGCAGAATTGGGATCACGATAGTTGGGGGAGGGGAAGCACTTAGGAACTAAAGGAACGTTGTATGTTTTATTGTTGCTACACTGCACCCTGACTGGCTCGTCTCCTCCTTGCGACCCTTCCATAAGGGGATGTCCAGTTGTCTACAGATGGGCTTTGGGGTCCCCCATCCATACTTCCTCTCATTCACAATGATAGGATTTTTTGTTCTTTGATCCCTGATACCTGATCCCTTCAACACCTAGTGATCACACAGGCTGGTGTGCTTGGGCAATGGGATTGTGACAAAAATTAAAACCACTCAGAGAAATTTAATCCCAGAAAGTTTACTGGCTGAATATGCTATATTTCAGCACATTAGCCATATGCAAAGTAATACAATATATTTGCAGTGAAACACACACCTCCTCTAGAGCTCTCATTCAACTGCAAATAGTTTATTGCTCAAACACAGCTCCTGCCAGAGAAAATATTACTCTGGCATCTGGTACAAAGTAATGTAAAACCAATTAAGAAATCTATTTACACTGCTTAAACATACAAATAGGAAGGATTCAACATTATTGTACAGCACATTAGAAATACTCAAGCTGAGATTACTCTGCACTTCCAATTAGGTTTAACAAAGGAACAATTTTACTGCAGTGGTATGAAAAGTTTTGAAAAAGAATTACTGGTAAAAGCTACCTTTTAAGGATTAATTACAAGGAAAATAACATAATGAAGTGGAGGGAGTAAAGGGTAGTGGGTAGAGGTTAAAGACGAAACAAAAATGGCTAAAGCTGAAGGTGAATGATAGCCACACCAAGTTCATTATATATTGTCTCTCATTTTTTCAAATTTTTCCAAGATTTAAAAGGAAAATTAAGGTGGTATTATAAAATGGTTATAAATCTTTCACTATTCTTAAAACTGTACTCTAAAAAGGTTGTGAATTTTAATGTAAATTACACTTCAACACAATCGATATTAAAAAAATACCAAAAATCAATAGTTAGCCTTTGGAAAGGATTAATCCTTTAAAATGTGAGTATTTTTAGAGAATTTTAGTAATATACTATTCCAAAAGATTTTATGGCTATAATCTGTAAGAATTTTCATCATAAAGCCAGGTACTCGGTCTCAAAAGAAAACAGACTAATCATAGACAAGTTAAAAACATACAATATTATCTATAACCAAGACTTGACCAGAAGTTAATTCAAAGGATAGGCTTTCCTACTTTTTTTTGGGGGGGGGGCGTGGAAAAGGGGGGCAGTGTGTGGTGTGTGTGTGTTTGTGGAATGTAGAATGGAAAAATCCTATAATCATGTTTGTCAGACCACTGAAGCGCTCCATTAGGAACGGTAGAATGGATATACACACAACTAAACAGCAATCTTCCAAAAACATTAAATAGCAAATACCTGCAATTTCCTGTAAACGATCTTCATCAATGTTGGGGTCAAAGTCACTTCCCAAGACATCTGTACTCCAAGTCTCACTCACTGTTTCCGATATGTCCCTATCATCTGTTAGTCCCATCATGTCACGAATTTCAAACTTCCTCAGCTTGTCATCAAGATTATCTTGTGTTGTGGCTATCAAAAACAAAATTAAACACTTAAAAAAATGTAGCATAGTATAACCATTATGAAAAATGGTATAGTGCTTTGTTAAAAATCTAGAAGTAGAAATAACATATGATCCAACAATGTCATTCCTAGGTATGTATTCTGGAGAAGTAAAAGTAGTGTCTCAAATAGACTTGCACATATCCATTTCCTCACATTACCAAAAAGATGGAAACAACCTAAATGCCCATCAACAGACACATGTATAAACGAAGAGCAGTACATACATGTACATACATACATGTATGCCATGATAAAGAATAAGAATCCATTAAACATCTCACAACATGGATTAATCTGGTGAACACTGCTGAGTGAAATACATCAAACACAAAAGGACAAATATTGTGTGAAATCACTATTAAGAACAGTCAAGAATAGGAAGAAAAAGAAAAAAAAAAACCAACATTCTTTGATGGTTTCTAGGAAGGGGAAAGGGCATGGAGAAGTACAAACCATAGTAGACACGAGTTAATTCTGGTCAAGGGAAAGGTGATAGACAACATAAGGAATTGTGAGTACCACAGGGCAAAGGCAAACACTGAGAGGTACATAAGACTAGAGGACAACTTAGGCAAATGCTGTAATATATAGTCTGGCAGCAGAAATAACTGGCAATAATTTTCAAGTAGATACATTAAGTAGTAATTTGTGGGTAGGTAACTATGTATGCTAAATAGATGCGGAAGGTCATATGGGAATACACCAACATACATGCATGGCAGTGAATATTTCTACAAACATATTTGCAAATGCTGTAAGTATATTCATACATGAATAAATAACAAGGCAAATAGGATGCTATAGAAACTAACACTGGGAATGATCTACTAGAGCTATATGTAGGCTAAGGACCATAGATTCAGGGGATATTTAGGTCAATTGGAAGAAAATAGTTCACAAAGAGAATGCTCTTTATATACTAGTCTGGAGAATTGTGTGTAGGGTCTTAAAAACTTTTGAGAAGCCATCTAAGAAGCAACTGGGATGTCTTCTCAACTGGGCACAGAAAAATGAAGAAACAAAAACTCAAAGAAGAAGCAATTAGTCCATAGGACTATAGCCCACACAAACTATAACCTCCTCTACCCTGAAACCAGAAGAACTAGATGCTTCCTGGCTATCACTAATGTACAACAAACTCCAAAGCAACCAAAAAAAAAAAGGGGGCGGGAGGTGTCAGACACTCTAGTAACGAAGAATCTCTAGGAACCCCTGATACTACTGAGAAAAAATGAACTACCAAAGACCTCTAACTTAAAATGGAAGATATTTCTGGAGGCTACTTTCCAGTCAAATAATACTCCAAAACTCAATGTTATCGTGTCAATGCAAACTCATAGCAACCCTACAGGACAGGATAGAACTGCCCCTGTGGGTTTCTGAGCCTATAATTTTCTAAAACAATAGGAAGCCCTGTTTGTCTCCCTATATAATAGGCAGTGATCTAAAATAAATGAGAAGATGTGCCTCTCAAAACAATCAACTACACAAGATGAACAGGGCAGTATCTGCCCAAAACCAAAGATGAGACGGAAGACAGGAACAGGGAAACCAGGAAACTCAAGGAAGACTAATAGTGCTGACATATTTGCTATGTAAACTTTCACATAAAGCCCAATATCCAAACCCAAACCCACCCCCATCGAGTTAATTCTAACTCATAGCAAACCTATAAGGCAGAACTGCCCCTTCATGTTTTCAAGGCTGCAAATCTTTACAGGAGCAGAAATCTTCATCTTTCTCCTGGAAGTGACCAATGACCTTGAAATTAGCAGCTCAATGGATAACCCACAAAATTTGTTGCTTTTTAAATTACAACCATGGAAATCCTATGGGGACATTCTATTCTATAGAGTCACAATGAGGCATAATTTACTTGATGGGGACATGATTTTATGAGCCTTTTAATCCTATTCAAAGTGATGAGCAAAAGATTAAATATGACTGAATTTGCAATGCAAATTAACTAGAAACCCAAAAAATTACAAATAAACATCCAAGTTTAGATTTATGCTTTAAACTTTGATCAAAACTATCCCTTGAATTAATCTTCTAACTAAATAATAATTCAAACTAATTAGAAAAGAATGCATTAATACTGGACCTGATCTAGTTTCAACATTTTCCGTATTTTTGTTTGGATTTTGTTCATTCATCTTAGGGTGTATTTCAGACCCTAAGAGGTGACCTTCTTGAAGTTGTGTTATATGTTTTTCTGTTTTCTTGGTATAAAGAACTTTATGCTTTTAAACTTCATGTTACATATTTTACCATTAACACTGGGTAAAGTACTAAAACACTGAATATTTCCACATGGATGCACTCCTCTTTGAACTGAGGCCAGTATACACATACGTAGTTCCCCTTACGGAAGATTAACTAGACCCAATGATCTAATCAACTGTCTCCCCTGCCCAATATCTTTTGCAGTGACTTTGCAGGTCATCCTATCAACTGTTGGCATATATTTTCCATCTCTGAATCTATACTGGCATTGTGCCTTACTTTGGCCCCAAGTGTGGCAAGGAAGTTTACTAATTATGATCTTGGACCTCAAGAGAACTTGAAAACATAGTATTTTTAAAACCATTTTTTGTGTTTTACATGAAACTTTACGCAAGAAATTCATTTCTCACTCAACAATCCACAAAGTATTTCATGACATTAGTTGCTATCCCCACAATGTGTGTCAGCATGTCCCTCATGTTTACCCTAACTGGCTCCCCATTTTCATTCCTCCAGTACCCCTTGTCTTTTCATCTTTGCTTCTGGGCAAATGCTTCACATATAGACTTATACACTTGTTTGAGTCCATGAATGTAAGTTTTCACATTATAAGTCAATCTATTATTTGGCTGAAAGGTAATCTCTGGGAATGGCTTCAGTTCCAGGTTAGGAGATCTTGTAAGCTATTTCTCTCTCTCTCTCTCTCTCTCTCTCTCTCTCTCTCTCTCT